GGCGATTGAAAAATTGCCCCCACTGACATCCGTCAAGGGCATTCACAGTTTCTTGGGCCATGCAGGTTTTTATCGTCGTTTCATTAAAGATTTTTCAAAAGTTTGTTCTCCTCTTAGTGTCTTTTTAGTTCTCCTTCTCCAACAACCCCCAATCACCTAGGTCTTTTTGACATGTTTTGATGTTATGGTGGGTGGCCCTATTGTGCACGAAATTAGTTGCCAATATTGGTTGTGAAGTTGTATTTGAAGTAGTAAACTACAATTCCCTCTACTTCGTGTAAAATTGGGAGGGCCGCCTTGCTCCACCATTATTGAAATAAGAGAAGAAAAATTGATGCCCACAAGGTATTTGTTAAAATGCCTAAAAGAGTGAATTGAACACCGGTAAAGTCTGAGTAGCCGAGTGTGGTTGTATATGCGGTTGGGCGAAGTGTGGGGTGTTTGGGGGTATGTTGTCTTGTTGTAAACTCTTGTAAGTAGTAGTTAATGTACTATATTAGTGTAGTAAATTTGACTCTATCATTGCGTGCACTTTGAACCACTATTGTGAGTAGATTATACATCGCCTTCGATTTTAAGTGTGGGGTCATCTTTGCCTCTCACGATGACCTTAGGTGAATTTCTTGATTCATTCTCACCTTTGTGTTTGTCGTGTGTAGGTTGCTATGGCTTGTGACAGTGCCGCCAAAGGAAAAAGGGTGGGAAAGTCCTCCGCCACTACTCTCCCTCCCAAAAAATGCAAGAAAGGTAAAGGTTCTTCCCGGCAAGCTAAGGGAAAGCAGGTTGCTAGCAAGTCGACAAGGCCACCACGACCTCGGGTGGATCTAGTTCGAGAAGACGCCATCAAATGGCATGATAACTTTGTGCCATATGGGAAATATATCTCCGAAATGGGGATTAATGTGAAGGCCCTAGAAAAGAACTTCTCGGGGGTGCTTGCCCGGTTGGTAGAGATGAAGATGGAGAAACTTATAGAATGCCCGGGCCCTGCAAATCTGAGCATGGTGCGCAAGCTATACACCAATTGGAATGCAAACTTGTTCCAATCATGTGTCCGAGGGAAGGATATGCCACTGGACATGAGATCCTTGTATGCATTTTTGGGAGTTGATAGCCCTAATCCACAGCGGCTACAAAAGTTTGTCAAGAGTCCGCGCTACCGGGCAATATGTCACACCATTTTTGGCGTGGATTCTAATACAAGTGGATGCGGACTAAGGGAAATGCCCACCTTGAGATGCTTCGTTTTGACTTCAACAAGACGACTAAGGTATGTCAAAACTTCATGCATTCTAGATTGATGCCCGTCGAGCATAACAGTGAATGCACTCGAGCTCGAGTGTATGTGATCTACTTTCTGATGACCGGTCGACCCATAAATGTGGGTGAGCTCATGCTTGGGGAGATGGCCCGCACCCGCTTTGGGGGAAGGATCAAAAGGCTTTTCGTTGGAAACCTCCGGATGCAGTACATGCTATCTCGTGGGGTACCGGAGTATCCAGGATATGATGAGGCAGATGAGGCACCCAAGTCATTGCTAGACATCACATCCGTGCTGGAGTCCACATCAAAGCTAAGCCAGGCTGCAAGGAATGAGAGGGACGAAAATTTTAACAAGTATCTTTATAGTTCCCCCAATGTGATAATGAGTAGGCTAGAGGTGTCGGATGAGGAGCGCATGCATTTGCGAAATGATCTCTCCAGTTCTTCCAAGGAGATATTGGGCATAGCACCGGGTAGTCCCATCCATCTGTCTGAGGATGAGAACACTTACAAGGGATCTGATGATGAGGATGCGCATGATGATGAAGTTATGGGGCCTATGGCTTTGGTGGCCTTAGGAGATGATGATGAGCCCAGAGCCGCAACTGGTGGGCATCCTGAAGAGGCGGACTCCGACTAGCAGGGAGTTATTTCTTTCCACCTTACTTTGTTTTGAATTAGTTATGCATCGGGGACTATGCATTGTTTAAGTATGGGTGGGGGAATACTTCCTGACTTGTAATTGTATAAAAAAAATTTATTGTTAGTGTGTTGTTGTTTGTTTAGCTTAGTTGAGAACTCACATAGTCTAATTAGCTAGTAAAAAAAAACTTGGACTTGTCCCAACGATGGATCTGTTGGATAATTTTCTTAAGGGATTAAAGTCCGATAAAAAATACCAAGAAGATTTTCTTTCATTCTTTTTAGGATAGTTAGGTAGTATCCCTTGGTTTTTATTTGGACGCCAGTACTTTTCCAAGGGTGTAGCTCGAACCGGGCTTTTTTTTTATTTATTTTTATTTTTTTAGGAATAGGATAGGGAGAAACTAAAGTGCTCCGAGGTACCTGTTGACATGTTTGGTATGGGCACGTTACGTTATGGCATGCACTCTATCTTCCTGAATATTTGATTTGAGTTGTAATGCAAAGTAAATTAAGTAGCCTACTCTTTGACGCCTTTTTCTCAATTGGTTGACTTGTATGCCACCTAGTGCATTAGAGCTTAAAAATTCTCAACTCGCTGTGCTTGCTTGACTTGAGAGTCGAACATAACCGTCTTGATTGAGTCGAGTGCAATGTGTGTGTAAGGATTGGTGATATTTTGTGATATCTTGTATAGTCTAGAACTTACCACGTGTGTTAATCGAAGCGAAATAGTCAAGTTGTGCTAGTCTAGGAGATGACGTAGGCATTTCTTGCTTGACCATAGAAGTGTTTGTCACTCACAAATAAAATTTTTCGTTGCTAGCCCCTTTGAGCCTATAGACCTTTTCTTCTAACACTACAAGTCGTATCCCTATTTTGTTCTTAATTTGAGCTTGTTTAACCTTTACCTCCTAAGACACTTAGTCACTAAGGTGAGAGATTGGGGTGTGGCTTTTTAGTGGAACCATGGAAGGGCCCTTAAGGTGCATTAAAATTATGAAAGAAAAAAAGGTCACTAGCCGATGAACCTTAATGTGGAGTGTGTGGAGAAAAGAAAAGAAAAAAAATATATATAGTTCAAATAATGTAGAAAAACACACACCTCCTAGTCCTTCTAATTCGTGCTAGTAGAGATATAGAAGTGCTTAATTGAAAAGAGGGCTATGTTAGATATGGTTTATGGCGAGTGAATTGGTTGAGAAGAATATATGCTCGATTTGTGAGGATAATGTATTAAAGTGCTTAGGAGGGTTAGTCACTATTTCTAAATGTATCCTACCCATCCCTTAGCCTACATTACAATCTTAAAGTCCTAATTGATTTTAGATTTGGCTAGCTTACATTAGTAGAGATGTACACTACGGGCAAGCTTATGGTACGACCACGGGATGCACATTGTGAGAGTGAGCGAATTTTGTTCAATAGTATGATGTCCTTAATTTATGTTCAATGGCATATTTGAACGTATGGACTACTTCTATATTCACTCTTTTGCTTGTGGTGAGGGCACTTCGTCTCATGACGGATTGGTGATGTTGTACATTTCTTTTGTTGGGTGAGTGCATGAGTTGAGGATGCTTAGTGGTAACGAGTCGTCTCTTGAGGTAGGGTGGTTATGGGGAGGTTGTTTGCGTTGGTTGAATCGCATTGTGTATACTTGGACTAGTCTAAAAACGGGAAGAATGTGAAATTCGTGTGTTCATGCTTAATTGCCGATATCGACCATAGTCAAAAGATATAGTGTTTGATTGAATTAATTGTGAATTGCTCTTTCATAGTGATAGGTACGTTTTGGGGTATGTTAATGTAGTTCCATTGCTCGAGGACGAGCAAGAGTCTAAGTGTGGGGTGTTGATATGCATCTTAATGTATGCATATTTTGATGTATATTGCCTCGCATTATGCTCATGTCTCGTAGATTTCGGATGTATAATATGATGATTTGTGCTAATTTGTATTACTTCTCTGTGTAGGAATCATTTGGATGCGATTTGGGACGAAAGTGCGCGAATTGGAGCGAAAATGGGAAGAAATGGCAAACATGCACATTTGAGGGCCACAAGCAGCGTGGGGCGCTGCCTGTGGCACACAAAACAGAAAGTTGGAAAGTTGAGCGCCAAGGCCAGCGCCCCACACTGCCCTGGACGCTCAAAACGGGAACATGTCCTATTTCTACTAGGACTCGATTATTTCGACCCCAAGACGCCCCCAACTCATATAAAAGCCAACCTAAACCTATTTTGAGGGGGATGACGTGACTTTGAGAGAGAAACAAAAGTACGAAACACTCGGGAGCACGAATTTGATCGATTTTTCCATTATTCTTCTAGTATTCATTGATTTTATGTTTGAAAATATTATTTTTGATGATTGTATGAACATGAGTAGCTAAGAACCCTATTGTTCTGGGGTCATGGGGTGCTACATGAATGTTGACGTTTGAAGTTGAAATTGACGAGTTTGATTTTATCATATTGGGTTGTTTATTTAATTCTGTTTTTAATTATTTTGCTGAGTAGTTAATAGTGAAATACTATCTACGAATCTAGAGTTGAACTCGAAAGTGAAAATTCTAGATTGTATATAGAATTAAATAGAGCAAGTTTTTAAACCCGGGCATCGGGGAACGGATTCGCAATTAGGATAGAAATATACATAATTGCCTTGCTTGGTTGAAATACAGGAAATATAAATGCATTCTTGTTAATCCTAATTCCATAGACATATAGGCATTAAGTTAGCTTGAATATGCGAGTAAGAACTCGACAGATTCTTATGGCGAGTAAGTGTTGTGGTTGATTTCCAGTTATTTCATTACTTGATAGTCTCTTACGTAGTAAATTAGTCACTTACATATTTTGTGAGAAATCTCTTGAATCGATAAGTTATTTGAGTTTGAATCAGTCAAAAGTTAATCATAAGTTTCTGAAAAAATGATATTTTATTAACTACTCTATTACTTGACGATCACGTATACTTGCGGGAATGTGTTTGGGCAACACCCTTGTGTAAGTGTGAGAAGACATAAATCCAAAGCTTCACGCACATGACGTCAGCGCATTTAATAATAAGCCGCAACAGGTGTCCCCACAATCCCCCAGTCCCAACCAAACATCATAGGAACTAATCAATAAGCCACTCTCTGTCACAGAGTAATCCTCGGCGTCTCCGATCCGGTAATCCGCCGAGTTGCTAGGATTTTCCTGTTTTCCTTTTTCACCACCCCCTTCTAAATAAGTAAATCCACAATCTCCGCATTTCCAATTCTCAGGTACATTTCTTTATAAATTTCTCTATTGTAACAACATTCTTCTCGGCTCGAATTACCTATTAAGTATGATTTATTCTTCTTAGAAATATATATATATAAATGTGTATTTATATTAGGTTAGCAGATGGCTGTGGTGTTGGAGGCGAAGGATGCAGGAGAATGGACTTACAGAGGAGAAGGGGCTGTCAACCTGGTTCTTGCTTATAATGGAACCCGTTCTGATTTTGTATGTCTCAATTTCCTGTTTTCCCCCTTCTTTTCATTCTCTTCACTGTGTAGGAACTCTTTTTAGCAGAAAAAAGGTGATGCCTTTTTGGCAGTATATTTATAAGAAAAGATTCTAGGATAGATGAATATTAATTCCATTTTTTTTCAAAAAGTTTTTTAGGAAGATCCACCATGAAATTCTTTGCTTTTCACATAACCATTTTATGGTAATAGTTGGCACTTTTGCATGAATAAGTTCATGTATTTTACCCACTCATCAGAAAACGACTGCAATAACTACTATGCTTTCACTCCAAGTTATTTGGGATTGGCTGTATAAATACTCATTATTCATTTTGCNAAACCCCTGGTCAATCTTGTACACTGTCAATGTCACCATGATAATCGCTTTTATACTATATTCACTTTCCACTTACATTAACTCTCATTTCTTTTTCTTTTTGGTACTTGTCCTATATCAGATATCAGAGGTAAGTGCATATGATCCTCTGGATTTATTCTCTGGATCCAGAGACAGAGTACACAAGGCAATAAACAACCTTTTTAGGACCCCACAGAATAATTTTCGGGTTTTCCTGGATGGTTCTCTCATATTTGGTGGCTTGGGTGGTGGTGCAGACACTACTAGTTGTGAAGTTGGTAAAGCATTTGAAGATTCGCTCAAGCATGTAATTCAGGCAGAAGAGGGCATGCGGACACAATATTTTCTAGAGCTCATCTCCAAGACTGTCTGTAGTTCAGAGTTGTTAAATCGGCTTCTTGAAGTCCAGAAGCTAGACACAACTGACATTGAAGGTGCAATTCACCCATATTATAATGTTATTTCTCAGCCTTGCATGGTATGTGGACAACTAGATAAAGATCAATCATCGAAGAGATATAACTCTCTGCATTCAATGTCGATGGAGGAAAGCTTGAAGATTGTGAGGGACTACTTGATAGCTGCAACTGCAAAGGACCTTAGTATGATAATTAGTTTTAGACCTAGAGAAGCTGGTAATGTGGAATCCCCATATAGCATTGTCTCCTTAGAATCAACCAACCAAAGTTTTGACTGCAAGGTATTACTCTTTCCTTCTTTTGCTTAGTCTCCTTTCGATCTAGAATAACATGTTATACCATGTAAAATGAATCTTCTTTCAACCTGCCTTGGGTTCTAGAGTAATATGAATAATTCATTCTTGAATTTATTTTATATGGTGATACTTCAGGTCTAATGTCTACTAAGTTACTCTGACACAACAGTTTAGGTGCCGCACCGGTGTCGACACGACACTTGTGTGGGTGTAGGTATGGGATCCGAACCGGATCTGGTCCAACGATTTTGGTACTTTGACCATGACAGACGGAAAAATTCGAGACGAGATACAATTTGATTCCTAAAATCAGAACCAAAACTAGGATAAATTTAAAGAAAATAGTATACCTTATCTAGGAAATCAATCCTTTACTTATCTACAACTTGAGAGAAATTCATACTTTACAAGCTATACGTAAGTATTCGACAAAAAATTCTCATAATTTAGAGATATTTATATTTTTATTTTTTTTGAAATATTTTTAGCCGGATCCCCGCACCTTCATCCGTACTAGGATCCGAATCTTAGAATTCACATCTCGAAGGATTCGAGCAACTTAGAATGGCAATAAAACTTGAAAGATTTTTAATTGTAAAGTCGCATAATTTTGATTTACTTTAGTGCAACTTATTGTGTCGACTAAATAGCATTAAGTCATACCTAAGCCCTCTCTTCTAAAAAGAAAAAGTCATACCTCCCCCCTTCATCTGTTTTTTTATCATTCCTTTTTTCCGGAAATGGAACCAACTTCTTCGTTTAGTAGTTTTGAATCTGTATCAAGATAGGCTTTATACCACAATAGTTTCCATATTCTAATGGTGTGGCATAAATACTGGTTTACATGTTAAATACTATTGCAATCCACTTAATCTGAAATGCAGTTTCTCTAGAACCAAGATTGGTGACAGTGTGGCATTAATATTGGTTACCATGTAAATGCTAATGCAATCCACTTAATTCTGAAAAACACAGATTCTCTAGTTCCAAGACTGGCTTCATAGGTTTTACCAGTGTTAATGGATTCTTTTGGCTTGCAAATTGCTAGGCATCTTTCATTGACCTGGACTTGAAACCTTTGGAAAGGATTGAATACTACTACAGGTTAGACCAACAGATTGTCAGCTGTTATGTTCAGATGGTGAAGTCCAATCATCAACTCGACCACACTGGAAGCACTGTCGGAGCTTGACAATGAGGACAGTTTCTGGTGATCAATTCGGAGACCTTTTTGAGCTTTCTCGTTGATAGATTCCTGATGAAGTATCTTATTCTTGCCTTCTTTTTTGGTGACTGAAATTTCAGCGACGTGGTCACAACCCACCTTTGATGAGACATTTAATTGAACCTAATACTGTTTATCTTATAATGGATGATTCAATTGAAATAGAAGCATGCTAAATGTAGTTTTCGCTGGTCCAATTTTCACACCATCCAGAAGCTTAGGCAATATATGCTGTGCATCTGATATGAAGAAGAGTCTTAATAAGTAATAGAACAAGGAAAAGACCAGCTTGAGCTTCCTCTCGTCAGCAATATCACCTGCAAGTCTCTAAGTCTCACCCACTCTCCCTTCCACTAGTCTAATCTTGGTTGTAAATTGCTCTTGTCGTGCTGGGTTCTTCTGCAACCTTCGGCATCATTCAATGGTTACCAATCTGAATATTTTTTCTGATAGAACCTTGGGAAGAAACTCATGGTTTCCCCCTTTTACCTCTTCTTATTCGGAACAACGAATGAATTTTTTATTTATCCTTAAATGAAATTAATCAGCTAATATAGACTCAGGTGTTATTTACTTAAGTTAAAACTCATGATGCAGCGTCAACTTCTATAATAGAGCTGAAAGGTACCCTAATACTATTCATCAAAGAGGAAGCAGTTGTGAGTGCATGTGATTAACTGCATTTTGCCTGTGATTTTCTTAGAGTTATTACTAAAAAAATTATATGATTTAGTTTCTGCCTTTTAATAATTACTGTGATTTAAATTCTTAAAGAAAGTTGTAGCTATCTGTTTGACTCTGGAAGAAGAGGTCAGTTGAACCCAAGGAGAAAGAGACTTGTGAGGATCTCCCTCCCCCACAAGGATAGTGATATATCAACCACATAAGCACCTTCCCATCCCAAGACCACATGACCTATTTATTCGTACAGCTGGTTTCGGGATTAGTTTTGGTGCAAATCGTGAATTGGCACATTCTGCTGTTTGGTGAGCCAACAGGTGTAGGTTCCAGATTTGACACTACACCTCAGATCTATGTTGAATTTAACTCTATTTGTATCATTTACCCTTGGAGGTCAACCTTAGAGGTTGCTAAACCTTGCATTGTGCAACATCACAATGCCTTTTATATAGTGGATGCAGCGTGATTCCCCATATTTATGTTCATTCTAAGGTCCATCCTACTTTTAGTTGAACCTTATTGAAGGACGACATAGAACATGAAGAGAACTTTGCAGAATGAAACATATAAATATTTTACAGTTGCATTAGCTTTCTGCTTTTCATAAGAATAGTTTGACAGTTTTGAGAATGGCGCATGGTACCTGAGGTGACTTGTAATGTTTAATGGCATCATATTTCACCTTGCATTGTAATGTTCATGGCACATCTGTAGACTATTTTGGTCAATATCCTATCAAAATGTGATATTGTCATTATAAGTGATGGATATGCTGCTGTAGAAGAATTCCATCATGCATCCCAATTATGCTGGTTGAATGGGAATTGTCTAGTTCCAACTCTCACAACTCTCAAATAAGTGTTTCGGTCTTTCTGTTTTCCTATTTGTAAATGGATTTAACCTATAACGCTAACAGTTTAAAAAACTTTTACACTGTCAATGTTTATTACGTAATAGGTTATTTACTTTATTTTTCAGGTGACTAAATTAGATTTACTATAAACAGTTAACTGGCGTACAAAAGTTAAACTCTATTGATTATAAGACGAACATATTGCTCTGATTAAACAAGGAGCTTGAACTTGTATTCTGAAGTGATTATCGCTATTGCCTAACTGGGTTTAATCAGTTGACTCAACTGCTCTTGCACTCTTTTCATATAATAGAATGTTTTCAAACTGAAAAATAAAAATTAACTACATGGGAGTCCACTGTTCAAAGGTTTAAGGAGAGTGTTGTTTGAATCAGCCTGGTAAATATTGCTGCTATCAATTTGCTGGAAAAGGTCAGCTAGTAAACATACTCCCGGTTCCATCTCTTTCACAGGAAACATTACAACTGACTTCAAAAATTGTCAGATTTGGATAGAGTAGGCACTTGCCCTTTTTATGTAAAGTATAAATTGAAGGTTTTGGTTTTATCTAAATTATACTTTCAGGCTATTAATGTGGAAATATGTCCTTTTAACCTTGTATTCTAGGTCTAATGAAGCTCAAATGTTTAGATTCTACCAAACAAGTACTTCAACAATTGACTTCTTACTAAATGGAATGTCTACCTTCTTTAGTTAACAGATACTACTTAAGTACATTACTTTTGAGCGGTAGTGAAAATTCAAAGATAAAACCTCACCATAATATTCAGCATTGTACTGATATATAACAAATCGAGGAATGTGCTTGGTTGGTTTATGTCAAGTTTGTTTACCATGTGCAGTAAAGAAGTCTTTTAATACAACTTTGCGCTGGAAAAATTTAGTAGTAGCAAGTATTCTGTCCTTCCCCTTCGCATTGCTTGTGGGTTGTGGCTGTGTTGAGTCCTTATTTGAGGCCACTTCAGGTGTAATAAATGTAAATGGGAAGCAATAGATAAGACAATGAATAACTTTCTAACCAGCATTTACTCTTACTACCAACTAACACTGACAATATATCTACTATTGTACCAGAGCCGTCAGCAAGTATGTCAGGCAAAACAGAAGTAAAGATGGATGTTAAACAATTTCTGTTTAGCATAATTAAGGAAGTCCACAGGACGACAATTTATAAATAGTATCTATAATTCAACACAGCATCATTTTTTCCCACATTCTGTACTGTTGGGTACAATTCATTGTTGACACCATGTCATTAGCAAAGGTTTTAGTTCTTCATTTGATGAAAATGCTTTGTACTGTAAACTGTGATGATAAGTCATCTTATTTGTTCTAACAGGTTGCAGTACTTTTTCAGTTTATTTGTGTCTTCCAAATGTTCAGAAGTACTGAGAAACCTGACTCTTTTTGCAGAAAACAGTGGTGTCAGTGGATCTAGTTTGTTCAAAGTGCAGAATGAAGGTGATGAAGTTAATATCAAAGGTACAACAACAACAACAACCCAGTATAATCTCATTAGTGGGGTTTGGGGAGGATAGTGTGTACGCAGACCTTACCCCTACCATGAGATAGAGAGGTTGTTTCCAATAGACCCTCGGCATCCTTCCCTCCAAGAACTCCCCCCATGGCCGTTCCTCGCTGTTTTGCATTTTACGGCCAAAAAACTAGAATTCCGCCCGATTCCC